AAACTCCAGGAGAACATGATCACTCCCACCTAAGGATCCCAAAACTTGTACATGTCCCAATTTTTGGCAGTGAAATGTTGGAGGATATGCAGCTAGGGACATGTACATATGCTTAGCTCTCTTTTAGTGAAACCTGTAAGATTAAAAACTGATTTTACTGGAACATATTCAAAATTGTGGCTTAGTAACCATCAACCCTGAACCATCAAATTCACAAACCAACAAAGACCCCTTAATATATTATTGGAGTAACAATAAACTGCAGTGTTTAATAAATGTTCATATCTATATAATGTGTGTATATTTAATTACTTTCAATCCTTATTGAAAATGAGTTCTATAAATTGGAAATAATTTGAAATTTAAAACAGAAATACTAAAACCTAAACATCAAATACATACGAAGTCCCACATTCACCAAAAATCCCTGCTTGAGAGAATATTTTGTAACAACTGCAACCCATTCTCTAATAGTATTGTTGCTGCTATTTATTTGTTTGTACTGAATTTACTTTATGGGTGTAATCAACCGTGAATATGATACATAGCTTTGCTATAGAAAGCTTCACTTGCATTGCATTTATGTAGAGAATGTGTCATCTGTGCAATATAGGCAAGAACAGGAATGTTTGACAACCTAAATCCTAAAGGATTTATATGTATCTTACCTTGAGGTCAAACCCATGTTATCACTGTGATGCTAGTTATGCCACATTTTGTGATGTAGCACATGCAAAAGCTAGCTTGGCACATCCTAAGCATCAAGTTTTATGGCCATTATCCATGACATGGAGAGCCAGCATGGTGCAGTGGTTTGAACGTTGGACTGTGACTTTGGAGACCAGGGTTCAAATCCTTGCTCAGCTACTGAAACTCACTGGGTGACCTTGGGGAAGCCACACTCTCTCAGCCTCCGAGGGATGCAAAGACAAACACTGTTGGAATGAATTTTGCCAAGAAAACCCCATGATAAGTTTGCTATGGTCTCCATAAGTCAGAAATGACTAGAAGGCACATGACAACTATCCATGACATGCTTAAGAGTATTTCCAGCTCACAAAGACACATGCATACCATGAAGCCCAACCAGATTGGCATAACTTTTATAGTGTTACTTTTAATTTTACAGTGATAGATGAATTCTTCTTCAAACAGGAGAAAACAAGAGAGCTTTAATGTGACTAGCAAAGTTTCATGTGGAATTTCAGCAGACATACCTTGCCATGTTATAGAGCTGCACTACCAACATTATTCTATTCTACAAGATCTTCAAGTAGTTCACAAGACAGTGGCCAGAATTTAAATGGGGCAGTTTTCTGGGAACATTTCAGCTTTGAAAGCTCTACACTTGCTCCTGGCTTGCTTCAAGGCACAGTTCAAAGTGCTGGCTTAAACTTTAAAGTCCATAAGGGTTTGAGGTCAAGTAGCTTAGGTATTACCTTTTGAATATCTTCCTACCAGATGCTAAAATTTTCTTCATCCTTTGACTGCCACCTCCAAGAAAAAAGAGAGGCAACAAAGTAGTGGGCCGATTTCCCCCCCCCCTTCACCTGCAATACCCTAGTTATGGAAGTCCCTCTGCAAAGAAGCTTGCCTGTTATTTTTATTTAGCTGTCAGGCTGAGGCTCAAATCAGGGACATACCCATCATCTTTGCTAAATATTCTGTTATAGCATGGCATTTTCCTCACCTACATATCTTGCATTCAGCACGCTTTGTTATGTGATCAGTCATTTTATGTTAAACACAGGCTTAATGCACAAGTTTGCTGAGACACATATAATGAGAAATCCTATTTTGGGAAGGAAAACATGTGAATCACTTTCCCTTTAACATCTAAAGAGTTTAGGTTCCACTTAAACATTAGAAAGAGCTTTTTTTGATTACTTTAAGAGGTGTTCCAAAGTGGAACAGACTGGCATAGAGGATGGTGGACTTCCCATCTTTGGAGGTCTTTAAACAGAGGTTGGATGGGCATCTTTCAGAGGGCCTCGGCAGACGACTAATTGGGTCATCTTCCGGGCCTGGAAGAGGAGGGGCAGCCGCACGTTCGGCGCCCCTTCCTCTTCCTGAGGTCGCCCCTGGAAGCGCCGGCCATCCGCACGGCCGGGGCTTCCGGGTTGACCTCACGCCGCGGCGACCGCACTCGCTGTGGCGTTTGAGTCAGGGAAAGTGCGCCTGCCGCTTTTGGGGCGCACTTTCCCTGAAATCTAAAAGGAGCGCCAATTTGGCGCTCCTTTTAGATTCGCCAGAGGAGCACCGCGGTGAGGCTGCCATGGCCCCGCGGCGCTCCGGACCAGGGCGTCCTGGACGCCCTGGTCTGCAGAGGCCCAAAGGCACTTTGTATTCCTGCATGACAGGGATATGAACTAGATGGTCCTTGTGGTCTCCTCAAACTCTTTAAGATTCAGTGATTCCGAGATTCTATCACATTTGACCATGTGGCTTTTTATTCCCTGGGACATTTCAAAGATTTGTATTTTAAAGTTCTGAATGAAGCTGTATTACAAACACTGGACATGAAGTGTTTCATTTCACAGTTCTAATTTGCTGTCATGTAGGTGTATTGATTTAAACCACTCTAATATATACTTTCTTGATGCTGTTTTGATTTAACTTCCATGGCAAACTACCCTGGTATAAAATATTTATGAAGGGAGTTACATAAACGGTTTAAATAAATTGATGAAAGAAATTATTGCTGTACTCTATTGCAAAATTGTTGTGGCTGTGTGCCTTCAAGTCATTTCTAAAGCCAATATATATGTTGTCATTCTTTTGGGCTGAATTTCAGTTTGAGAAAGTTGGAGATACATAGCAGCAATGGTCCTGCACACAGAGAGACAAAGTATACCAGGCAGGGGCAGAGGTAAATTGGAAAGAAAGGGCTTTTAACCGTACAATTTTTAAAGTACTTTCTAGTATTATTTTCAACTGCATGTTTTAATTTCTTCCAATATCAATAGTTTAAATCTATTTTAATGATGATCCTTGATATATATATATATATATACACACACACACACACACACACACACATATATATATATATATATAGAGAGAGAGAGAGAGAGAGAGAGCGCAAGCACTATATTGTTATTTAGCTATATTTAATTTGCAATCTGCTTTGAGCCCCAGCTGTAGGCAAGATGGGAGAATATAAATAAATGTGGTAGTGGTGGTGGTGATGGTATTTCTAACACTTTGTCACCCAGGACAAAATAAACCACTCCATGGTTATCTATACGAGTGCAATAGCTTCTTGGGATCCTTTTATAGTACACAGTCAGTGCTATGATTCCACTTTAAATGACATGGTAATGACCTATGGGTTTGCAGTTTAGGGAGAGGTATTTAAAATTCTCAGCCAGACACTTCTAGTGCCTTGTTGCTGTTGTTGTTAGCTGCCCTTGAGTTGTACCTGACTCATGGCGACCCTGTGGATGAGACACCTCCACTCCTTGTCCTGTAAATTCATACCCGTGACCTCCCTAATTGAATCAATCCATCTGGTATGCAGTCTTCCTTTCTCCTGCTGCCTTCAACTTTTCCTAGCATCATTGCCTTTTCTAATGAGTCATTCCTTCTCATGGTGTGTCCAAAGTACAACAACTCCAGTTTAGTCATCCTGGCTTTCACGGAGGGTTTGGTCTTTATCTGTTCTATGCCCCACATGCTTGCCTTTTTGGCCGTCCAAATGATCCTCAGCACTCTTCTCCAGCACCACATCTCAAATAAGCTAATTCTCTTTCTTTCTGGATTCTTCACTGTGCAACTCTCATATCTGTACATAGTGATGGGGTATACAACATCTTGGACGATCCTAACTTTAGTATTCAATAATAGGTCTTTGCTCTTTAGGCTCTTACCTAGTTTTTTCGTAGCTGCCTTTCCCAGTCCTAATCTTCTTCTCATTTCTTGACTGCAGTCTCCACTATGGTCAATGTTTGATCCCAGGTATGGGAATTCTTTGACAATTTTTATTTTATTGTTATTTAGGATTAATTCATGTAGTTCTTCCATGGCCATTATTTTTGTTTTCTTAATATTCAGCATTCAGCCTACCTTAGCACTTTCTTCTTTGACTTTCTTTAGCAATCGTTCCAGGTCTTTGTTGTTTTCTGCTAGTAGTATGGTGTCATCTGTATATATTAGGTTGTTTATGCTTCTTCCTCTGATCTTCACTCCTCCTGCCTCTGAGTCTATTCCTGCTCTGTGTATGATATTTACTGCATACATGTTGAACAGATAGGGTGATAGAATGCATCCTTGCTTGGCTCCTTTACTGATTTGGAACCATACAGTTTCTCTGTATTCAGTTCTGACTGCAGCTTCTTGCCCTGAGTATAAGTTATATATCAAGACAATCAGGTGGAGTGCTACATCCATTCCTCTAAGAGCTAGCCATAGCTTTTCATGATCTATGCAGTCAAATGCTTTGCTGTAGTTGATAAAGCATATGCCGATTTCCTTCTGTAATTCCCTTGTGTGCTCCATTATCTATTGTGTGTTTGCACTGTGATCCCAAGTGCCTCTTCCTTTCCTGAAACCTGCTTGTACCTCTGGGATATCTCACTCCATATATGGTAGGAGTCTGTGCTGCAGAACTTTGAGTGTGTCCTTGCTTGCATGAGAAATTAGTGCAATGGTTCTGTAATTGCTACAATCTTTTGTGTGGATAGGAATGTATATTTTTGTGGATAGGAATGTATATTGATCACTTCCAATCTGTGGGCCTGTGGAATCCTGGGGTTTGTAGTTTCTATTGCCTTACCAAAGTACAAACCCCAGGATTCCACAGGATGCAACCAGGGTAGTTAAAGTGGAATCATAGTGCTATACATGTTTAGGATGAAAGTGCTGCTGATACGCCAGCAACATGCAGGGCAAGAATAAACTTCAGTTGTGTGCTAACATTATCCTGGGTCTCAAAACATTGTTTATTTCCATGCAATAGTTTCACACATTTAAATGCTCTCACTACTAATATGACAGCAGAAACTCACTGGCCACATTGAAAAGCCTCATGGATTATGCCCAGCCTGTGGGAGAAGAGACTCTCCATTGCTGTCATATATAATTTGAATGTAAATAACATATCAGTTTTAAATCTGTGTAAATCCCAATTTTTCACATTTACTTCTTTCTTTTGTTGGGTTTTTTCACCCAGCCTGTTAAGACATTTCTTATATATTGGATGCCACTTTGAAAATACTTAATGGGTAAAAAATGTCTTGAAATATTCTTATGGAAAGCAAAAAGCTTTTCTATGTGTGTTTCCAGAATCAAGAGCTATGCTTCACATAAATCTTTTCCATTATGTGAATCAGATATCTGAAGAACGTGTATATCAGTACTGAGTAGGAGACAATGGGTGAAGTCAAAATAATGTAAAGTATAAACCTAAGAGCTAGCTTGTCCCTCAAAAATGGATCCAAGAAGACTTGACAAGGCATGTGTTATTCTAAGATAACACATGCCTTATGGGTGTTGTGAACCATGAGGTAAAGCCAAATGCCTTCAGTGACCTGAAAGTGTTATCTTAATGTAACACGCATACATAGGCCTTACGGATACATACCAAATTAGGAAATAGCCTCAAATTTTCAAAAATTAAATGCCTTTCATTAATCAATGAAACAAAAGCAATAAGGAGCATAATAATTATATGGCCAGGAAAGAGCAAATAGCTCGTGAAATGTTTCATTCAAGGATTACTGAAAAGGATAATAGGGAGGTCACAGATGAGCAGAATGAAATGTCAGGTGTGTTTTTCATGCTGTCCAAGCACAGAAATTCTCCCACAAGGTTCATCATTAAATCATAAAAGAAATGGCATGATGGATAAAGAAATTATCTAGATTTTC